CTCAGCATTCGGCCCATACCTGCTTGGCTGTTTACCGGAGATGGGGCAAAACATAGCAGCTAAAACAAGGGTACGTGCAAGGAGCAAGGAACTCAGGTCGGTGCTTCCAGAAGCAACGAGGCACACCCCTTGTGGATTCACGGAGAGAGGTGAGAATAAGGGTACCTTTTTTCCTGTAGTCTATTTTGGTAGGGCACACAGCTGGGGAACCTAGTCAGTATGTCGGGGGTCTAGGAGCTGCCAGGCAGCTTTTTGGCGGGGTTCAGGACCGCGGGCAGCCGTCCCAACGACATGGCTCGGCCGACACGGCGGTTTAGCCGTCTATGTACATTCGCCGCCCACGAGGCGGGGGACAAGCTGGAAACCAAATGCGCGAGTCAAAGCGAGAAAGCCGATTGACGGCTTTTCCATGGCTTTTCTGCGCGAATGTTTCAGATGGTGTTTCACCGATGCTTTTTGAGGAAAAAATCGGCATCCTTTGTTGGTTGGTTTGGAACCCTTCCCCAAAACAAGTTGAAATAAGTTGTCGCCACTGGTTTACTTTGAAGGAGTCGGAACCCTTCCCCAAAAAGAACAAGTTGCAAAAAGTTGGCGAGATTCCACTGGGCAGCTGGGAGCTATGAGCTTGGGGTGGGCTTGCAGTGCAGGGCTCGCAACGGCTTTTGCCCCAAACCAAAAAACGCAAACATACCTAGAGTCTCCATGACGACCGAGCCAAGCAACAATGCGTGTGCAATTCAATTAACCGAGCCAAGCAACATCACCAGTTTGTACGGCAACCCAATAGGTTCCAATTCTTGGAAATAGCGTAATGATCTCGGGGCCGGGGATTGCCTTTGAACAGCTCAAAAATATGTCCTGGTGAAATCGATTCCCTTTTAAAAGCAAGAAGGCAAACAAAACCAGCCCAGACGCTCCTGGGGCTTCCAACGGAAAACCCAGACCCTCCACTGGACACCCCAGAGGGGTTTTGGCTTTGGGGTCTCAAAACCTGGCCGTTTGAAGGCCCACAATCCATCAAATTGGAGCGTCTGGGTGGTAAGGATATTTTTTCCCTAGTGAAATCGACTCCCCTTTTGGAAAAGAAGGCAAACAAAAACAAACCCATATTCTAAGGATTCCCTTCAAATCCCAAAATGGAAGCTAAAAGAAATCTGACCTCCGCCACCTCTGCGACCTCTGCGACCTCTGCGAAAGCTGAGGCGCAGACCCCGGGCCCAGCTGTGACCTGCCGGGCGTTTTTTGTTGGCCCAAAAGGAGACTGAAAGGAAGCCAACCGTCGGCGAGGTGCGCAAAAACATGGGGAGACTCCCAGAAATCCCCACTCAAACAGCCAAAAAGTCGGAAAACCTGGAGACTCCAAAAAAATCCCCACTCAAACATGGGGTGCTGCCTCAGTTTCATCGGGTGATGTCCATCTTTTTCTGGGTAGTTGAGGGTCCAGGTGCCTAAATGGGTCTATTGATTTTGACCCATGCCCAGCCATTGCAAACCTCACGTCCAATCGAGATCGGCCAACAAAAAACAGGATGAACTTTTGGTTGACCAAAATGGGCCAGCCATCTTAGGCTCACTTCCGATCGAGTGGATTGGTCATACAAAGTTGCCGAATCTGTTTGTTTACCAGTCAAAGGGTCCAAACACAAAAAGTGACTAAAGTCCGAAACAGAAGTCAGGGTGGTCCTCTTGACTTTGTTTGTAGACAGGTTTGGCAAAGGGAAATGCAATGTCTTCGGTTCTAAATGCGGGCGGCATCTGAGCACGTAAAAGTGGCCACGTGGCATTCCAGCAACAGAAGCCAGTCACGGGGTTCCCCATGTTTCGCCTCTCAAAGGGTACCACACCAAAAAGGGAAATCAAATTGCTCACTTCCTGAAATTTGCCAAAAGCAGCAAGCAAACTCTTTGAGTTTCCGCCGAAATAGTCCAAGGAGTTTGACGTTCAAAGGATGCATCCCAATCTTCCATTCCCACGCTCCCGCAAGACGATGCTCCAAGCTTTAACTTGGGCCCCGAGGAATTGCCAAACCAACGTGGCCAGTCCGGCGGTGTGAATTAGGATGGCACTGCACTAGCCTAGCCTACCCTACTTAGCTTATATAAGGAACTGCCCCAGTTGAGGACCATTGAAAGGGCAACCACGCAAATGCTGGGTGCGTTCTCGAGTGGATGGTCCAAAAAGAGTCCAAACTTTTATTTACCGCTAAAATGGTCCAAACCCAAAAAGTGGCCTCATGTCCGGTTGAACTCGGGAAGTGACTTTTGCTCAGCTTTTCCTGGCCCAGTTTGCCCTCTCAACGTGCCCCCCCCCGATTTTTCCCACCGGATTTTCTCTCGGAACCGGGCGCCAGTTGTCTCTGGAACTGCTGCTGGAGCATCCTGAGCCGAGGTGGAGGCGCTCAAAGCAACTCCCGCCGAGGGGCTTTTCAGGAAATCAGTTTCACGGTTGACTGCTCCAAATATCCCCCCCCGAAGAAACAAATGAGGTAGTTTGGGAGGTATTTGTTTTTGCTTTGGTTCAAGGTTGGTGCCACGTATACGGTCTATATACGTCTATATTTTTTGGGAGTAACCCCCCTGCCCCAACTAACTGGCAGTTGTTCCCTTTTGTCGTTAAATGACAATCTTGTTTATAGCGTACCCTCAAAAAAGTCAGACACCAAATATGGCCTTTCCGAGCGTGACCCTTAGGGGGACCTTTGGGTCCCCTGATCCTTTGTTTGGTTGAAGGCAACCGCGAATTTGTTGAAACCTCCACTTAGGTTCAACGCGGCATGGTTCCAACCCAACCCTACGCAGCGCCCAAGAAATGCTCATTCTGCATGGATACTCCAAGCAAACATCTCTCCCCTTCTCAAGAACACTCCTTCGTTCTAAGCTGACAACCAACAAGTACCCTCCCTTCCACGAACAGGAGGTACCTGTGGGTGGGAACCTGGAAGATCGTTCTGTTCTCTCCAGGGGCCGTCAGGCAGTCACGTGCCATGGGAGGTGCTCGGTCCGCCAATCGCTCAATCGCTGGAACCTGAAACTGACTCGGCTTGGGGGCGTTCCTGGAAACGGATCGAAAACCACGAAAGCCGAGGTGGTAGCTTCAAGAGCCCCTATGGATGGACCAAATCCATTTCGCACCACTTTGAAACCATGGTTGAAACCATTGTTTGCTGGTATTTACAGGGGAACCATCATTCCAGGGTGTCTTAGGTGGTGCCTAAGAGGATTTCGTCCATCCACAGTACCTCCGAAACCTTGGCGCGTTCCAAACCGCCCAGCTGTGGGCAAAGATGCCAAAGCTTCAGGTGGAGAAACCATAATAAATTAAGCACGATGCATGCGGCCGAGGTTAAATCAAGTAAGCCCGAATCCCGAGAAGTGTGATGCTCACCTACTCAAAGCCCGGACAAAAAGTCAACACGGGGAACAATAAGCAATCATTGCGCTTTCGGAGCTCATACTGTTGGTGGACAAAATCATTCACCACTTTGAACCAAGGGGAACCCATTTTTTGTTGATATTTGCAGGGGGAATCATCATTTTAGGATTTCTTGGTGGTGCAGGATTTCATCCACCCACAGCACGTCACCAAAAGGGCGCCGCTCAAAACGACAAAAGCAAAACAGAAAGGGGACCGACAACCTCAAAACCGTGACCTGCGGCTTTTGCTTGCCATGTTCTTCCGAAATGAGTGTTTACTCACCTGCCCCGGTTGGACCCAACAATACAAGGCTATCACCTTTTGGACCTCTACTGACCTCTACTGAACATCTCTCAACATGGGAACCCAAAAAGGGAAAAAGTCAAAGGGACGGATCCGGTCGATTCGTTTTGAACAACTGAGTAACGAAACAAAGCCTTCGGGGCTCAGCTCGATTTTGCGGACACCGCAAGACTTCTCCGGAGAGCTGGCTTAGCGCTGCCAGGTGAAACTGTTTCCGGACAAAGGAGGCCTGAAAAAGAGAGTACTTTGCAATGTACAGGCCATCATCGGAGTAGGGTTTTGGGGGTGCTTTTAAAACATTTCCTGGGCCAAAGTCGCAGACTCGGTTTGGACTACGGTAAGTCGATCCTGAATGTGTTGGCCCGTGGCCCGTGGCACCCACGCCTTCATTTTGTTGACAAAAAAAACGCGTCCAAACACATGGGAGGAAAAATCACATTTTTGGCTAGGCAAAGCCACATTATGTAATTCCTCATGGGAGACCGAGTCCGAGAACTGAATGCTTGACTTCTTGTGCCCTTTTGAGCACTGGGCATCAGGGGTGCCACGCTTTCGGCACCAAATGCCCAAGGCGCATGCACAACGCGCACAACGCGCACAACGCGCACAACGCGCACAACGCGCACAACGCGCATCGTACGGAGGCGATGGGTGGCTCGCGTCTCCTACCCTTGTTGCTTTTTGGTGTGCTTTTTCTAGGGGAACCCGAAAGGAACTCCTTTTCAGGGCTTGTTCTGGTACTCCCAAGGAGTCCTCAAGTAAGGAGCCTTCAAAAAAGTCTTCCCAGCGAAACATGGAAAATCGGCTGGCCGAAGTCCTGAAAACAGCTCTTTTGGACTCGAAAAAGAAAGGCCCGTGGGAGTTCGCAACAAGTGGCCATGGATCAAAACCCAAATCGTACCTCCAGTGAACATCCCAATCCAACCACTAAAACAGGTTCTAAAATGGGTGGTGCATCTACCAACCAAAATGGGATCCCAAAACGGTTTTGACCACTCTACGGCCAAAGGGGCCAGGGCTATGAAGTCTGATGACTCAAAGCGCTTGTGAAGCAATGCCTGATCAAAGTGGCCGAGTCCGGCGTTGAAAGAGGCATAATAAAAATACAATAAAAACCTAAAGGATCCAACAGTTCCGTGCGACAAATCGCATGGCTGGCCTGTTTACAGATTGTCCTCGCCTCGCTTTCTGCGTGGATTTGCCAAAAAGAAAGAAAGTCTGAACTGGTCCAGGAGACTCGGGGAATGAGTTAGATGAACATGGGGAAAAAAGGCATCCTTTCTTGCTTGGTTGAGTCTAAAGGGGGACCTTCCCCCAAAAAAAGGAAAAGGGCCTGACTAGGCAACAGAGAGCTGTCACCTTCATCTACCTCCAGGCGTTGTGGCTGGACCCCTGGACCCTTCACGCGCGTGAGGGCGCCGTCTCCCGTACTTGTGCGCGGCTGCAGGTCATGTCGATGTTCCGGGTGAGGTATTTGGTGCTGCTCCTGTGGGATGGCCAAGGACATGTGAAAAACCAGGCCGCCACGGAGCTATGTATTATTTTGTTCTAACCAGACCTTCCTGGTAGCTCCCAAAGGCTCCTTGTTTAGAAGCAAATTTAAGGACACCTCAGTTGCCAAACAAACTTTAAAAAAGGTCAATCTTCTCTAGGGGTTGATTCCTATTCCATTATTTTCAACCATCGCTCTTTTCAACAAAAACCGATCGCTGTTTCCCCTGGTTGTTTGATGGTTTGCTGAAAAGAATCGGATCCCTGGAAAGAATGGGGAAGGTCCCCCTAGAATTATTGATGATTTAATTTTAAGTAATCCCAATGGTATTCAGGATATTGCTCATATTGAACATGTAATGGATTGAATGCAGATTAGTACAATGCTCTTTGATGTTGAAAGTGATTTGTGAACCCAAACCCCAAAGGAAAGTGACTTGTGATTTGTATATTGATGTTGATATTGAAATATCATTAACCCCAAACCCCAAACCCCTCAAGCACCACAGAAGGTCTTCCTGTTTGCAATCTTCGGACAAGTTCAGTTGCATGGTAACCTGGGTGATAATCCACTTAGGCCCCGTTCCATGGAGTTGACGGTGTTTCACGGGGTATAACCCACGTGGCCAACCACTTACTAACTTGGCAACGAACATCCAAGTAGTTTCTCACTTCCTCAGTGGATTGGCCAAACAAGTATTCCCAAAAAGCATGAGGAAACATGTGTATCACTCAAATACATGCTGAGTATCAATACATGCTGATTGTTTAAGTATCACATGTCTCATTTGTCACTCAAACGGTACTCCCAAAAAGCCATACGATCCAGTGGACGAGAAGGGCTGCACTTGATTGGAATCCCCCAAGCCTCACATCCTACCGTTTCTTTTTCCGGTTTTGTCCATTTTAGTAGGGGAACCCTCCCCCCAAAAAAAGGTGGGAAAGGGCACCTGGCTGGGGGACCTAGACATTAAAAAAACAAAACACGCATGCCACCATTCGAGAGGAAAGTCCTCTTCACCCCCTTCTTGGGTTCCTTCCGTTAAATGCTAGGAGACTGCTTGGGTCTTTGGAGGAAACTCGGGGGTGGGAGCATGAGGATTCCAACCCCGCGTGCTCCCAGATGCAGTTGTTGGCGTGTAGATTTCCCCAGCCCTTGAAAAAGCGATGTCTAGTATCTACCAGTGGTGTTACACAACCTTGTCAGTAACTAACATCATCCCCCGATTCCAGCATAGGTGCCCAGCTGCCCTTTGGTTTACTTTTTAACCAGCAGGAAAGAAGTGAAGACCCTCATCTATCTATCTATATATATATATACATCTACCAAAGGTCTGGTTTTCTCCAATGTTCACTGTAAAGCACACGGAAACACAATTGAACACAACCAGCAGGCAAAGTTTAAGCCACCCACCTAGTGGTTTGGATTGGTTCGTAGGTCGGGGGTTTGTCCCTTTCGCGAACAGGTCAAGCTGCTAGGTCAAAGCTCCGCTTTGGGCAAGTGAGCGAATCATCCACTCGCTGCCAATCGAGCGGGAACCAAACAAGTCTAACACCAAACTGGTCCAACCCAAGAAGCTTACCCCATTTCCGACCCCCATGGAAGTGCACAAAAGGCTTCCTCACAAGGAACGTACCCCAAAGCCCATGCTGGCAGCTTCAATTGGAGGGATCCCTACTCCCCCTTCCACATCAGGAAGCTCGCCCAGAGCTGACGACTGCCCGAACGTACCCCTTAAACTCACTTCCTGAGTGGATGGCAACAAAAACAAGTAAGCAATCTTATGTTGTTTTCCGCTAAAAGATCCAAACCCAAGAAGTGACCAAAGTCCATGAACTCAGGACGTGAGCTTCCATTTGCTTAAGCCCCCTGAAAAAAAAAAAAAAACAATCCAATAGTGATAGACCGCCTTTAAAACCAACAGGGCAAAATCAATTCTTAAGCAAACGGACGTTGCCTTCTGCTCCCCTGAGAAAAGTGACTAACTTTTAGTGGTTCAATACGGAAATCCCCTTAGTTGGCCAAAAAAATGCAGTCCTAACATCCCTCGGCAAAATGCAAAGTAAACCAAGTCGCCCCGGTTCCCGGCTGCCAAGCCAAGTGGCGGGGCGCTTTGCAGCTGCAGCACAGCGCCCGACTTCGAGTCCGGGTGGTCTGATGGACCTCAGACCACAGGTCACAAAGGTCGAAAGGTCGGATTCTGGTCAAACTCTGGGTCCGCGGTGGGTCCACCTCACAACTGCAACCGAGCCTGGAAATAAAAGGGGATCACCTTTCGGGTAGCCACGACGAAAAATGGACGAAGGGAAAACTGAAAGGTCGAAAGGTCGGATTTTTGGGCAAGCGAGATTCGAGTAGATGCATGAGAACGGCCGGCCCCGCGCGTGGGGAATTCTCAGAATAGGGGGCACGCGCTCTCGTTCACCTGACATTTTCGGGGGAAACCGGGCAAGTACTCAATTCCTGAGTGGATTGGTTAGGAAAAGGAACTGTTTGTGAACCACTAAACTGGTTTTCCAAACAAGTTTAAAATCGACGAGCTCAGGGAGTGATGTGAGGCCAGGTTGCTGTAAGAAGATAGGATGCCTTGATGCCGCATGATGAGCCAGGCTTCTTGGTAGTTCATGCGTCCTGCCTGCCAGACAAAATCTATGGAGCCAAGGAATCGGGTCCCCCACAATGGCCTCGGTTGTTGAAGGCTTCCCTTTACCACCAAAAAAGGGGGGGTATCCTGAAAAGACACAAATAGGTTTCTCCAAACATGAAGCGAGTTTGAGGATGGAACTGAACCATGGAACCCTTTTTTACAAGCTACACACCTCTAAGAAGGTGGTGGTTTCTTCCATGGATATGTGCAGAGCTCACCCTGCAGGCAAAAACCTAAGGGAAAATGCGGCACCCGACTCAGTCAGAATCTCGACAAAAGTCTGCAAGGGATCGCCAGACCTTCATGGGGCCCAAGCTTTAACTGGTGCCCGGTGAGCTCTTTATATTACTCACGTCCGATCGAGTGGACTGGCCAAGCAACTCCCAAACTTGTTGTTTTGTTCTTCTTGTTTTGCCACATGGTCTTCCCAAAAAAGTTTGAGGTCCATGAACTCAGGAGATTAGCACTTTTGCACTATTTACCCACCGACTCAGGATCACTAGTTGTCCACCTCAGACGTGACCGCCAGAAGGAAGCCCCTCTCAAATAGGCCAAGTTTTAATCACCAAAACGGTTCCCCCAATATTAGCTCACTACAGGCCTTTTTCTTTTTCCCCCGTGGTCGACTGTGAAGCGCCAAAGAACATATGAGCCCCAAAAAACGTGTCTCAAGACGAGGAACCTCCTTTGGAATCTGAAGGGGAACGCAATAGGAACCCCACCGCTTACCTAGGCCAATTAATCTCTCCAGCCTTGGTATGGTAGCAAAAAGTCTTTGCTTTTTGCAGCCCCTTTGTCTTTTGCTACCCCCCTACTCAAATAAAAACTAGAACCCACACCCTCTCAAAACCTGCCAGCAGTGAAGTGAACACTCTCCACCGTCTTCTTTCTTCAAACACCACCTCTACCGTGTCCTTGCAGAACGTCCTGGTAGCTCCAGATCCGGCTCCCTTGTCAAGCAAATTCGGGTACCTCCAGCTCCGGACTCGCCGGCTCCCTTACCACCAGCTAGACCAAACCTTTCTCTCACTTCCGCGGCCTGGCGAAATAGCAGCCCCGAAACTTTGCGTTGACCAAACTGGGCTTGGAATTGACCAAAGCCCAGAAGTCCGGGAGTGACTAGTCCCTCCCATTTGTACAGAGCGAACAACTCACAGTTGTTCAGTGACCCTGGGGAAAAAAAAACGGGACCCCGTTTTTGGGAAGACCCTTTTGAGTGGGGCAGCCACCAAAACAAAGGGTGCCACTGAACAAGTGAGCATTAGGTGGTCCCCCCTTGAGCGCTTCAGCCCCGGCCTGGCCCCGAAGGTAAGGCCGTGAAGCGTTGCCCGGCGGCCAGGACAGCAAACCCAGCAGCCAAAGGAGGCGCAGAGCGAGCCAGGCCAAGGGCAGCAGAAGAAGAACCAGTCCAAGGACCTGTCTCACACATCTTCGGCCAGAAAAAGGAGTCACGTGCATGGCTTACATCATCCCCCTTCCTCGCCACAAGCAAACCTGACATCCCATGTTTGAAAGAGTATAGGGCTATCTTCCAACCATTCTCACTGCACATGTTCGGCCAGAAGAAAAAGTACGCCAATTGCATGGCTTACATCATGCATTCGGTGACTCTGCTCCTCCCTTCCTCCCATTGCCCCCCTCCGAGCCATAAGCAAACTTTTTGTTGTTTGCTACTAAAATGGTCTGAACCCAAAAAGTATCCAAAGTCCAAAGATGTTGTTTTCTGCAACTCCTGTCTTTGCTTTGTTGCGTTTTCCCCAGGGCATCTGGATTGCCGCTACAGCAGCCTGGCTTCCTGAAGCAGGCGCTGGACACGTCGAATTCCTCGAATTCTCATGTTTTTCTGTTCAGTCTTAAAAACAAAGTTAACCAGTGGTCCCCGCTGTAACCCGAGTTCATGCCTTCTTCAATTCTATCCAGTGCTTTTCTTGTCAAAAAACGCAAACACCAGGGACCAGTGACCAGTCCCCACTCTAAGCCGCTTCCCCTTCCGAGCCACCCCAGGCGCACCAGACAGCCCAGCGCTGGCGGTTGCACCCGGCGCCGTGCTCAACACGAGGCCGCAGCCGACGACGCAGGCAGACCACAGCAGCCAGGCGACCAAATGGGCGCTGCACAGGGCCAAGCGCACGGGCGTACCCGTGCGCACCTGACAATGGCATGGCCATGGGATTAGTGACTTCCATTTGGTGAAGAAGCCTGGCAAAGAATATTTCCAGTAGTGATAAATTCCTTTCAAAACCAACAAGGGAACATTAAACAAATCTTACGTAAGCAAATGGAAGGTGACTGGGCATACCTTAGGGCAGGATAGTGACAGTTTTATCCGCTTTCCTCGAATTGGTGGTCTGGAGTCGAATCGGTGTTTGCGGCTTCCCATGTACCCCGACAGGCTATGGGAGGGACCGCCCCTATCAATAAACAGCATGGGGGCTGGGGGGCAGGGAGGGGAGGGGGGGGAGCCCAACAAAACCCTTATTTAGCCCTTATTAAGGCCTTATTTAGGGCTTATTTGGGCTCCCTCTCCCCTCCCCTCCCCTCCCCCCAGCCCCCTTCAAAACAGGGGTTTCACTTCCTCCGGGGTCATTTTTGTTTTTCCGGCCCAAGGCGCCGTGGTGCCGGGCAAGGCGTACTTCTGCGCCCAGTACAGGCCCAGAAGCCCCACAGCGCCCAGCATGGACAGCACGGGCGCCACAGGCCTCGCCAAGCCGAAAAATCCGACGGCAAAACGTGGAAAAAACGCTGCATGCTGGTTCGATAGGCGGGGAATGAGACATGGAATCAAGAAAATCTTTGGGTTCATTCCCCCTGGGTCATTCCCTGAGCACCAGCAAGACACTGCATGCTGCTGAACTCACTTGCCCCAGACCACCTGGAAATAAAAGGTTTACTTGCTTGGACCCTTGACGAACTATGGACCAAATCAAAGAACCAAAACGTTAAAAGGTCGATTCGCTTTGGGCAAGTGAGTGGAAAATCGGAGAGAAAACTGAGGCCGAAAGTTAACAAAGCGAAGTCTGGGAAAACATCCGGGAAATAACCTATCTGCGTTGGTGGGAATGCTTGCCGCCGTTTGTTCAGCAATCATGAGCATGTTTTTGGGGATGCCTCAAGGGATGCCGTGTTTTGAGAGGGCAAGCAAAGTATTCGGGAGACACGGGTATGTGCCACTCACACATCAACCAACCACAAAGATAAAAAAAAATAAAAATGTCCCACCACATCCATTGCCCGCCAACTTCCCAGAGCTCTCCATGGAAACCGCAGAACCATTCAAGGGATCTCAAGGGCAAATATGAGGCTGCGGCAAAGCACATAAGACGATGAAAGAGTCCCTTTCCAACGCTTGCAAACAGAATGCTTTTTGGCAGCCCCCTACTAAAAATCATCAGAACCAAAACCCATAAAAACCCATATAAACATGCACCAACAGTGAAGATCCCTCGTTTCTGTTTCATGGGGCATTTTTCGTTCGTCCATGTCTTTCTTAAACCCCGAATGGGGTTTGAAGACAAACAAGGAGATGCTGACCCTTCGCCGAAAGTCTTGGTCTGGTTGATCCCCTATTGCAAGTAGAAATTGATTCACTTCCCTTAATCGACTGGCCCAATAAAAACCTGAAGTAATACCATAGCTTCTGGGTTGGCTTACTGCCTCAGAAACCGGTGGTCACTTGCTTGGTATTTGGCCGAAGTGCGGAAATTCCTGTGGCTGCTTCACATCATGCTAGCAAACAAAGAGGACATCCTTCAGGGTTACTGCATTTCCTCTCCTTTTAAGTTGCATTTCGTTGTCCAATTGAACCGGTGGCCACTTTTTGGAGGCTCCAAAAAGGGCCAGGGCTCGAGCCCTGGCCCGGCCACCCGGGCCCCCCAGAGCGTGGTGGGATCGTGTGCCGGGCTGCTGCAGCATGATGGTCACCGCCAGCAGCGACGCCAGGCGCGCGTACTGCTCGCGCAGCGAGCCGAAGCGCTGCGAGAAGCAGAGCCGCTCGCAGATCAAGCCGAGCCATCGGAACAGGCACCAAAGCCTCACGCGCGGTCACGGGTGTGTTGTGTTTTGAGGGGGCTTGTTTTGGTTTTTACAAGGAAGCCGAGAACAAACTGTTGTTGTCGTTCCTTCTTGTTTTTCTCTTTTTTCATGTTTTTTTCATTTTGTCTTTTTTATTTTTTTTTGGGGGGGGCACCCTTTCAAAGACGCACCCATACTATTGGTGCTGCTAGGCGCAGGCCTGCTTGAACAATTCCCCACAAATTCCCACGCTCCAAAATCGGCGTGTCCCTCAAAAGGACAAAAACCGAAACGAGGTGCCAAGTTCTTTGGGCTCCATATGCCAGGTTCCGGTTCCATGTTTTTACAGGCCTACTACCTAGGCTGCAAAAGTCGGACCCCAGCAAAACAAGCACATTTTTTGCCTGGTTAGTGGAAAACAAAGGGAACACCAAAAAAGCAAAAAGGAAAAAGGGAGCTAATTCTAAGGAAGCTACTTCCATTTGTTTCAGCCCCCTGGAAAAAATGGACAGCCACTAATAGTCCCCGACATATTTCCACCATAGCCACTACTAGTCCACAGCTATCATTTGTTTCAGCCCCCTACTTCCATTTGTTTCCACTAGTGATAGCTTCCCTTGAAAACCAACAGGGGAAAATACAACAAAATATTCTGAAGCAAATGGAAGACTACAACCAAACCTAGATCACAAGGCCGCTCACCTGGCATGCCTTAAGCTGACAGCTTCTCGGTTGACTAAACACAAATGCCCAAAACCAGAAAGCTAGCCGGACAAACAAACGGGAAACAGGGGGATTCCTCTCTGCTTGGAAACGCCCTTGCGGGAGCCAGACTGAAAACCAAACAGAAAAGGAAAGCAAACCTGGATACTACCGTAGATGGACGAAATAGTCAAACCCTCGAGTATGAATCTATCCCCCCCACCCCCAAATCTCAATGTTGGAATGTTTTGCAGGGACAAGGGCCCACTGGACAAAACAAATCAAACCCCACTAACATAAAGTCAACGCTGACATTTCAACATTGAGATCAGGGGCGCGGGGTGTGCATAAAGAAACCTTATGAATATTTCGTCCATCTACTGTAGGTAGGGAGTGTGGACGAGCATCCCGCCCACCCCTTGCTGAATTTCAGCATGTTGTATGATAAATAATGAATTGCCCACCCCCTCTTAATTTGTCTTTGGGGCGTCATTTGGACCCACCGTGGATGGACAAAACCCTGCACCACCTATGAAACCCTCAATTCTGATGATTCCCCTCCAAATACCAACAAACAGCGGCTTTTCATGGTGTCAAGTGGTGCGAAATGGATTTTGTCCACCCACATCACCCCGAAAATGGTCGAAAATGGTCGCATCGCTTTGGCCAGAAGCATAATCACAGGCATGGCGTAGAGATAAGCCGCCGAGTCCACCTGCAAAACCAGCGCCCCGGCGCTAAGGGGAAGGAATCACGGCGCTGGGGGATCCCGTTCCCCGTGCTGTGGTTTAATCCGCTTCTAAAGCAACCTGATTTCTTGGCTGGAATTAGGACCCCAGCAAAAAAAAATATATTTTTGCCTGGTGAGTGGAAAACAAAGGGAACCCCACAAAAGCAAAAAAGTAAAAAGGGGAACTAATTCTGGGGAAGATTTCAGCAATACTGTGGATGGACGAAATCCATTTCGCACCACCTAAGAAACCCTGGAATGATGATTCCCCTGTAAATACCAACAAACAATGGTTTTCCATGGTTTCAAAGCGGTGCAGGATTTCGTCCATCCACAGTATGAATCTGAACTCCAAAGGAATCAGTTGGATAGCCAACAAAGGGCACCCGCCCGCCGTTCCGGCCGGTCAGAGACATGACATGACAACCTCTTGGTACATGTTTTCACTATTTAAACCGCCTCTATGTGATTTTTCCCCTTTCCAGGAAACCAGGTGTTCCAACCGACGGCCATAAGCTGCGCGGCAAGGTCAACCAACCCGGCCATGAGAGCATTCATCCCGCCCCACCTCCCACGTGAAATGCGTGGGGCCGTCCAAGACTTGCAGCCACCAAAGCAGCTTCCTTGGCATCGAAAATGGGAATGTTGGGCACTCACTTGCCGAGTTTGGACCCACAAATGAAAAGTGATCACCTTTTGGGACCTCTACTAAATTACCAAAAAGGGAAAACCAAAGGGTCAAAAGGTCGGCTTTGAACAACTGATGATAACTCTGCTTTTGGTTTTCCGGCTATTTGACATCCAGGTTTGCGTTCCTTTCTAGTTTGGCTTTCCCAAATACACCGCAATTGTGAAACTCAGGAGGGGTGGGTGGGTATGCTGGGTCCACACCCCCTTAATATCCAGGGTTGCTTTCCTTTCTTGTTTGGTTTTCAGTCTGGCTCCCGCAAAACTGTTCCCAAGCAAACTGTTTCCCGAATTGTGCTTGCGTGTCCTGATATGGGTATATATGGGTCAAAATGAAAAACCACCAGGATAGTCTTAGTCTTTGTTTCCATTTACCATGGCAAACCATTTTGTCGTTGCCCTATTTTTGACAACCACACCCATATGGCGGGTACCCTTTGGATTCGTGCTTTGGATTTGAACCCCTGGATCGCACATAGGCGATCCCAGTGCTGACATGCATCCGATTCGTTGAAACATGTAAACAAAAAAAAACGAGGCCCCCTGCAAAACACACGTCCAATTCGTTGTTGATGATATGTTAAGCCACCCGCAACGCAAAACAAATCCCAAACCAACGAGAAACCACGGCGTTCGGCTCCAGCCCCGAGACGTCTGCCGTTTTCGTCTTCGGCCCGAGTCCCGAGGCGCAGCGCGTAGAGCCCCGCCAGCGGCGCCAAGGGCTCGGCGGCTTGGCTCAGAGTCGACAGCAGCAGCTTGAGCCGCTCCTGGCTTGAGGCCAAGGAGCTACTCCAGCACCTGCCAAGGACATCGGCGATGTGGATGGATGGAAATCCCGAAATCCCAGCATCCCTGCTGGAAAAGCCTGGTTTCTGATATGTGCATTTTCTTCCCCAGTATCGGTTTACGATGGTTTTGGCCTGCAAAACAAGTTAATCGACGGCCTCCAAAACATAACGAAAAGCCAAGGCGGCCACGGGGTTGTCTTTTCAGCCCATGTGGATGGATGAAATCCGTTCCCACCCGTTCCTGGTGGAACCCGGTTTCTGATTCGAATCCCGGACGCAAATACCCATCAACACTGGGAAGTTGGGACAATGCCCACTTGCCCTTTTTTTTGGCCCAGAAATCAGTTGCCGATCACCTTTTGCACCACCAAAATGGGGAACCCAAATTTCCGGGAAACCAAAAGGATCCAAAAGGGTCGGACTTGAGCAAGTGAGATGAAAACCCGTTCCACCCTTCAGAAGATGCGACTTTTCTGTCAATACCAATCAAGAATGTCTTCCCATGCTCACTAACAGTCATCTACCTGCTAATTGTCATTAACGTAGTTTTTTTTCAAAACGTTTAAAAGTCTATGAATTCAGGGAGTGAGCATCGTTTTCAAGTGCGGAATTTCATCTTTCCACAGTATGTGGCATGGTCAAACTCCTGGGTGATGGTCATGGTTCCCATTCAAACCCTTGCGGCTTTACAAAGATGCTATTGGAGGCGTGACCATCCCCATTAACCCCAAGCAAGCAGGTTGACCATGGCACATATTGCAAGTAAGTCAGCTATAGTGTAGCATACCCGACCTCAGCTGACAAGTGCCCATGGGAGACAAAGGGCAACTTTAAAGGGGAACCCTTCCCGGAAAAAAAAAGGGGTACCACTGGGCAACTGGGCAACGAATGGGTACGGTTCGCACACATGTGGGTATCTTGCGGCCAGGGAATGGATGGAACATCCACAAGTGGGAGTCCGTGTGCTAACTGATTCTTCCTCGCTATGCACTCACCACAAAACCATGGTAACCCGAGCTCAGAAGAAGCAAGTGAAGGAACCAAACAAGAAAACAAACCAAACTAAAGCAAGGGAAGCCGAGCGAAAACCAATAGGAACGAGAGGAAACCAACACACAGTGGATCCTGTGGGTGCAAGGGCTTGCCCCCCCCCCCCGCCAAAAACAAAGAGGAAACTGGATCGAAGTGGGCGAAACACCTGGCCTCCCTGCATCGGGTAAAGAAACCAAACTTGTTGTGCACCACTCACTAAAATGGCAACCAAGCCCAACAAGTCATGAGCTAAAGTCCAGTTGAACTAAAAGTAAGAAAACCCAAAACATGAAGCCATGATTGCCAGATCATCAAACCTCCAGTTGTTCTGCTCCTCCAGCCCCCCGGCCTCATCTGGGCGTGTGCCACTCGCCTGCAAGCTCTCAGCAGCTCAACCAGCAGCACGCAGCCCAGTACCGCGCCCCCGGACTTCCTTCGGCAGTAGGGCGTTCCCGTCGCTTCAGTGGAGGCCTTGAGGGCCTTCAATTCAGGGCCCCACTTAGCAACCCAGGTCCGCGATAGCCCCCTTAAAGTTCCCGTTCAATGGAGATCACCATGTTATTCATCGGGTATGGCCCAGGTGGGTAACCACTTACCCAGTTGGCTGAACAGCCGGGCAAATCTCCAAAAATATCCAACATACTGTGGATGGACGAAATCCTGCACCACTTTGAAACCATGGTAAATGGTAAACCATTGTTTGTTGGTATTTACAGGGGAATCATCATTCCAGGGTTTCTTAGGTGGTGCGAAATGGATTTCGTCCATCCACCGTTATGCATGCAAGGGGAGGAAGCCCGCCCCCAATTTACTGTGAGTTGCCATGATGCAGTGGACAGTGAGGAACCAAAGATGGTTAAATCCGGTAGAAGGGAACCTGAACCAAACTGGAACCCTGCAATTTTTCGGCCGATGCTGCTACCATATGTTGAGGCAAATCGCGAAAGCGAACTGAAGCGTTGGTATCCTCCTCTCCTGTCAGGGACAGGGAACTTTGTTTCGGGTCGGCCCTTGTGGGCAAAATACCCGTTATAGGGACCCAGAAATAAAAGGCGACCGCCTTTGGGGCCATCACAAAAAACGGGAATTCCAAAAGAGGAAAATATAAGGTCGGATCATGTCGGCTTTGGGCAAGTGAGCTACAGAACAACATTTGGAGGGGTCTAGTTTTGGCCCCGCAAATTGACATGGCGCCCGTTTGGGCCACTGGTGAGACCCCCACACAAAAGCAGAGTCAGGGTGCCACCCAACAAATGGGTTCTTGCCACCCCAACCCCCCAAGAACGGCTTCCAGGACTGACCGCTGGTATCGGATCCCACTTCAAACCGCTGCAGAAACCCGGTGCCACCTCGAACAGCTCCAGACACCAGTTTCAGGGCGACCCGGGACAGGCGACTGCTCCCGGGCCAACCCGAAGTGACTTGAAGCCGGCCTAAGCGGCAATTAACGGACTATAGCTGCCATATTTCTGACTTTTCCGTTAATCCTTGTTTGTGGTCGTAGAAAATCTTATGAGTCGTCCCTGGGTTTCACTCTAGCCCCACTCTAGGTTCACTCCACGTTCACTCCGTGTCGAACGGAGGCTGCATTCACTGCTAAGGGGCGAAGGATTTGTGAATTTGTTCAGGCGGTTTTTGACGACTTGTTGAGCATATCACCTGCATCGTCCGCATCCATGGCGGACATTGATGCGGATAAGGCCGGTGATGCGGGGGATGCTGGGGATGTTGTTACCTGAGTCGGGCCAATTTTGCCGAGAACGTGCAAAAACACAGTGTTTTTGAAGGTTTTTGGCGGGTGCAAACGTGGAAAATATGGAAACCTGCTTAGCAGGCAGGCTTCAACGGTCCCGGCCGAACTCGATTTTTGGTAGGCTTTTCGGTGAACCGCAGAAAAAACACTGTGTTTTCGATAGTCTTGTATGGATTCAAGGCCGAGCGCAAACGTGGAAAATGTGGAAACCTGCTTAGCAGGCAGGGCTCACCTCTCCCCGGCCGAACCCGATTTCTGGCAGCATTTTTTGCGAACCAATAGGAAAACGGAGTGTTTTTGCTGGTTTTGTATGGGTTCCAGGCCGCGCGGTTGCGAAAATCATGACAGCACGTGGAAAACGGGGCCCGGCTGTCAGGCGTAAGCCCTTAAATCCGGCTACGCCTCCTTGGGGTAGCATGTCGCCGCTAGGCAATTAGCCTGCTAGCTTTAGCTATAGGGGGTGCACCCTGGTGCCGCCGACCCTCGCCACTTGGTCGTGATGCGCTGCCTAAATCCGGCACCTCTGCATCACCAGCTCGGGCGTGCGGTTTTGCTTGCCTGTGGGAAACCCTCGCAAAACATCGCGTATATGCAGGGTTTAGGCCATGTGGCTGACATCATCAGGGTCTGGGGTTGGGCCTGGGTGATGCTTCAGCGGGGCTTGGTCTGCATCATCAAGACTTCCTTCCAAAAAGCCTCTCCACCTAAAAAGCACTGTTTTTAAGTAGGTATCGGAGGGGTATAAGCGAGGCTCATTTTTGCGCATTTTGGCGCCCAGCGCTGCCAGGCATGCCGGCGATGCTGGGTCCTCGCTCTACAAAACGCTGTAAATACCGCCAAAAACTGCTGCGCTGAGCGTTGGGCTGTTGTTCTGTCCGTTTTGCTTTTGCTGTGGCTGGCTCGCGTGCTGCGCGGTCCTTGCTTTTTTCGCGTTGGTTTTCGGGCCTTCTGGCGCGCGCGCGCGCACGCGCGACCCCAGCCACAAAACGCTGCTATTTACAGTGTTTTGTTGCATTTGCGTTTCCGGCCTGGCTTGCGGGCTGCTCTTTTTGGGCTGCTTTTTTTGGGTCCTCTGGCGCTCGCGCGCGCGACCCCATGTCAGCCTTCTGGGTTGGGATCCCCGGCATTATCTGGGTAACCTAACCAGCCATATCATAGCACACGCTACGTTTCTCATGCAAAAACCATGACATGACATGGTATAACTTCAAAGAGGCGTAGCCGGCTAGAGGCCGCAGGCCCAGAAAATAAGTGGGTTTTCCTTTTTGGCTGGGTTCTCCCAACAAAAGACACACCACCAAAAGGGCAACCCCCAATGCCACTGCCAAACCAGCTACTTGGCAAATCAGCATTCCCCATGTTCCGTGTCATCGTCCAAGGCCCCTTTGCCCAGCGACCCTAGAAAGATGTTGCGCGGCCCGAACCCCACAAATGAGATACCATTTGCTACTTCCATCTGCTACTGGGCACCCTAAACCGATCCAACTCCCACCATCCATTCGTCCCAGGGTTGGGCGATTCAACCCCTGGACTAATCCATGATGTTTAGTCTCAATTGTTTCACAAACACCCCCCAACAACTGCTTTCTTCCCATGTCCAAAATACAAAGTACTGTCCGAAAAGCAGCGGTTGGGGGGGATGCTGGAACCTGTCACTTCCTGAACTTTTGTTTTTGCTAATTACTAAAATAGTCCAAACCCCAACTAGGTCCTCCAGTAGGGAGGTTAGAATAAGGGTACCAACTTTTTTATGTAGTCTATTTTAGTAGTGGAACCTACTGGGGGACCTAGCCAAAAGTGACTGAAGTCCAGCAGCTCTCTGTTTCTGTTTGACTCGTGGCCTGGCTGAAACAAGGGATGCCACTGAACCGAACAGAGCCCTCCCTGTCTGCGAGTGAGCTTCAAGTCGCACGTGCAGCTGCAGCTGGACGCGTCCTTCGCAGTTGGCGCTAGACGTGGCCATAGGCTACGGCCGTAGTTCAAGGGCAGTTTCAGGTACGGGTGTTGGAGGTGTTGAGGTCATGTACCACTTTTTATAAGGGGTATAGATATATGTCTATAATATACATATATATACACACATGTATTTTTTATTGTATGTATTGACGTTCAAGCTTATATTGGTGGTGTATATATAAGCATCCATCCATCAACAACCCATAATCCGAGAACGCCCTTGACTACGGGATTCTTATTTGGGCCAAAGGGAGGGGGAAAGAAGGGTAGCCAAACATAACCGTTTGTGTGATACATGTCTCGAGATCCATGGTAAGGGTAGGCTTCCCCTGTAACAAGGTGCGTGAAGGTAGTTGGGACAATAACCCTTTCTGTGCCCCAAAGCTCCATTACCAAACGGCCATAAAGGCAAAGCGGTCCAAAGCTAGTCGTGTCCTTGTCCGGATTCATCAACCTCGTGGATGCGGGGTGCAACTCCACACAATTGATCCAGATTCCCCTGGCAGGAACCCCTGATAGAAGCCAAGCCTCTAAAAGAGTTCCATGGGAAGCACACACGCATTTGCCTTCCTGATCGAGGGAACAAAGGGTACCGGTGTCAGAAAATGGAAGTAAAAGGACAAGAGGACAAAAAGATACAAAAAGCCCAGGTCTGGCAAAGAGTTGGGCTACGTGGTTCCATGCAAGGGGGCACTCGGGTCCCATGACTACTTCGTAACTTGACATTGGATTTGATTGGTATCACAGAAATCAGTTCAAAACCCAGCTGTGTTCAAAAAGTCGACATGTCCTGGTTTTCAGGGAAACAAAACTGGGCTGTCCTCAGACCCCCTGCTAAAAGTTTAACTGTTAGCGGATTAAACTCGGAAACCCAACCACTAAATCAACTGAAAAACAACTTTGGAACCGGGGGGATGGCTGGGAGCCGCAAACAAAAACAACTAGTTATGGTCTAAAAATCCGCGCAAATAGCAGCCTTAAGGAAGCCTGGGCCAAGGACAGAAAGGCGTTTTTGAGGTCCTGCCAGGTGCACTGCAAAGTCTCCACCTCTCCCAGTGCCCACCAAATCCCCGCAGCGCCGCAGGCCGCCAAAGCCCAAAGCACCAGCGAGCTGAAGGCGGCGAAAACCCACCAGGCACCAAATGCCTTGGCCGAGGCAGCCCAAGCCCCAAAAATTATGTCAACCACCCCTCAACTACTACTACTACTACTACTACTACTACTACTACTACTACTACTACTACTACTACTACTACTATTCCTACTACTACTACTACTACTACTACTACTACTACTCCTACTACTACTACTCCTACTACTACTACTGCTACTACTACTACTACTACTACTACTACTACTACTGCTACTGCTACTACTTCTACTGTTTGGACAGTCCTTGAGATTTTGGGCACAGGGAAAACCAGTCGTTAAAAGGGTGCTGGAAGAACACGACCTGAACATTGATTGAAACGTAACAAAAACAAGAACAATCGAACTCCCTCCCAAAAGAGCTCCACGGGTTGTATGTGCCTGTACATGATTTGACAACCTCGGGCAGGAGGTGCCCTCCATTAATTACTTTGGGGCTGGGCATCTTGACTGAAAAGACCCACCGGAACAAACAACAAAAACTGGAAATGACGGTGCATGTAAGGATTTAGATTTCATTTCAACGCCTTTGCAAAGGAAGAGCTATGGACAAACATCCAACGCCCACCTCAAGAAGCACACGTGAGGGGCCAACAAAAAGTTGAAGCCTGTCCCGCGCGCCGAACAAAGCCCCAACGTAGAAAAAACGGGTCCTGCGTGACACGCAACCGGCCAAGCGTTGCAGCTTTGCCAAGCCGCTCGGCGGCTTTTCTGCGACCAAAGGATGTCGCAAGGCTCCTCGGCTGGATTCGACCGAAGGGCGCCTTCGGAAGGCCTCGAGGATCCCTCTGGGATCCTATTTGTTTGATCTTGGACCTCACCTTTGCCAGCAAAAGCAAACCTCTTGAAACTTTTGGAGGATCTACAAAGGCAAAAGGAAAGAAACAAAAACGCGGACTTAGGTCAGCTGCCCAATTTGGACCTGAAAATACAAGGTGATCACCTTCTGGGTTGCCATGACCAGAAATGGACCGACAAGGGGGAACTAAACGGTCAAAAGGTCGGCGTTGGGCAAGTGCGAAAAGCATCTCCAGCTGCTTGTCCGAAGGACCCGCCATTCTTTCCCATATCCCCGATTCTCGAGCGTCTCCATGTTTCATGGCCTGCCTGCAAGTCATTGGTCGTTCTACCCGAAAGGCAGATTTCCATACCCAAAACCACGCTTAAGACGTCCCCTGTTGGGGGACGTGCTGGGGTGCCCATGCTGGCTGGAAGGCGTGAAAAACCAATGGTTTGAGTTTCCGAGGGTAGCGGTTCCCAGCGGTTGCAACAAATTCCCAGCCACCAGCCTGAAGCCAAACCAGAATGGCGGCTTTCTTGGACGGTTTGCCTCAAAGGCCTGGGATGGGTCAAACCCATGGGATCCCAATCACACCTGCTCTCCTTTCAGAAGCTCTATCTCACTTGCCCAGTTTCGACCAAGAGCAAAAAGGGTTCACAATGGCTAACCTTTTGATTCCTTGACTGAAAGTAGACCCAAAAAGTTGGGACACCAAGGCCACTGGATCCCAGGTGCCTTGTATAGTTTTTAGGTCACCAGCTAATTGCCAGTTGGCTGTTTAAGGGTGGCAAGCCCTTGGTTACCTACAAAACCAGGTAAATGGATTCAGTGGGGAAGGTTAAAAGGTCGATTCGCTTTGGACATCCCAAACAGTTGGGATAACTGTTTACTACCGCCGGCTCCGATTTTCGTCCAAATCCCCGTTTGATCCAATATCTGTCTTTCCGGCCATTGGTATGGTAGCAAAAACGCAAACAAAACAAAATAAAAAAACCCACGTTTATCAAAATGAACAACACCCAAACAACAGTAGATACATGCCAAAAAAACAATGAAGTTGTCTTGTTCACGATTTTCACTTGCCCAAAGTGAATCGACCTTTTTGTCCTTCCGGCGTTCCCATTTTGAACTTCAAATCTCACATCCACAAAGCCTTCATTCGAATTCAGCTTCGAGTCCAGCTCCCAAACTCTTGAACAACCAACTAAGAACCAAGCTTCGCTTCAATGTTCCAAGCTCCAATTCTTGCTGCTGAACCTGGTGGAGTTCTGACCCTTCAAAGTTGACCCGCTCCAGCAAATGATAATGTTGACCCATTAATAAACCCCTCCCATTATTAGGGGGGTGTTCCCTCCAAAAGTGGTCTGAATCCCCACTAAAAGGGGACACCCCCCTATTAATCAACCAGGGGTTCTACTTAGATCCGGGGTTAACATTAAAGGGCATGAGCACAGAGGCGCCGGAGCAGGCGACAGCCTCAGCGCAAGGCCGCGGAAGCGAAGAGCTCGCTGGAAGCACCTCAGCCGCTGCGGCGGGAACTCGGTGGCGAAATCTGCGAAGCCCTGCTCAAAGTGACGAACTTTTAGTGGTATAATACGGAAAATCCATTGGTTGGCAAAATGGAAAACCCATTGGTTGGCAAAAAGCTAAAATCCTTTAGTAGTTTAATGGAAAACTTTTAGTAGTTTAATACGGAAAACCCATTGGTTGGATCAAAAAGTTCAAGTCCTAACATCCCTTGGCAAAATGCACCAAAGGGAATGCGTCGAAAGAAGCTGTTTCACCAACAAAATGCTAAACAGCGAGAAACGGGCGGATGATTGCACACCAGCATCTCTAACACCCCCCCCCCCCCAGAGCACACGGCCGTCAATCTCGCCAATATTGCGCCTGCGCTCCTCCAACAGCTCCCCAAACTGCATGCCCCTTATTACCCTGCCGGCAAGCTCGCAAAAATGCACCTGCACCAGCACCCCAAACTGCATGCCCTACAGCACCCTACGGTCAATCTTGCAAAACTGCGCCCGCGCCGTCACCTGCACCACAAACCGTTCCCCAAACAGCACCCTAACAGCATCTGCAGCACCCCAACTGCACGCCCCCTAGTTCAACCGCTGTTTCACTCAGGTGGAGTGCCTCAGAAGGAGCCCTATCTGGAAAAAAAACAAAAAACACTCCCAGAAAATCCTCTGACCGAGCTTCGGATAGGTAAGCCATGCGTAGCGGTAGCCGCGCAGAAGCCAGTTCCGCTCCTCCTCGCTGCCAAGCACCACGAAGGTGGTAAGCACCTGACAAGTGGGCTGGCAATTGTGAACCAAACAGCTGCGATCCCTGGGGCTGTTTCCCGGGGGTTGTACTTTGTACTCTTTCCAGGGGTTCTCATAGTCAACCAAATTGCTGGGATTGTTCTTTTTCTTTTCTCTTTTTAGCTGTTTCCAGGGGGTTCTCAAAGTCAGACAATGGGGTTGTGTCCCTTTACCCCACGCCTCCTGGGGGTGACTTTGATCACGGGCAAGATGATGAGACTACTCACACCCCCCCCACCCTTTCGAAAGGAGGGCCCCCCGCCCCCAACACACCCAGTCACTCGAGACTTCGGGATTGACTAAAATAGACAACGAGCTGAGCTGCATGTTTCGACCAGGCACCGCCCTATGATTCCACACCCAAATGAAATGCATGCCAACCTCATTTCTGGGCGTCAAGTCGGGACTCGGCGCGAAACGAATTTTGTCCCAAGCTTCCACAAAATTGTGGTGATTTCTGGGTTGCCCTGAGCGAACCTGAGCCAAAGGCCGATCACCTTGTGGATTGTTTCGTGCTCCAACAAAGCCTCTACCAGGCCCAGGCCTTGGTTGTACGTCATCTGTGGCCCTCAGGCTGCATTCATGGGCCATGACTTGCTGAACTCATCGAACGCTTCTTCTAGGGCTCTTCGTTTTTGGAGCGCGCTTCAATGGCCCAACCTGGGGAAACCAGAAAACTGGAGGCCCGGGAGTGCCGGGAGACACAACCCCACGTGACTGTCACTGGATGGCCAAAAACAATGGTGGGTTTCCACATTTCGGTGGGAGGAAGGCGAGCCTACACAACATGCAACCCTTGGATCCTTTTGAACGACTTATGCTACCAATACCAAAGCAATGCCAAACCAATGTTAGCCAATATGAGACCAACTTTGTGGATCCCAGTTACCCTGATAGTAGGTAAACACTGATTTGGTTTGGTTGTTATGTTGAAGGGGTGGCAAGCCCTTGGTGACCTAAAAAACTAGGCAAATGGATCCACTCTGGGCAAGAATCAGCCAATACTACACCAAAACCAAAGCAACACTAAACAAAAACCGTGACCGACAAAAAAATGGATCCACTATGGGCAAGATTAAGCCAATACTTCACCAAAACCAAACCAAAACCCTCCGGTCCGCAAAGCCTCCAGGCCCTCCGCAACAGCCCAACCCGCGTTACGCGACTTCAAGGCGCCGGACGCTCGCCCTCCTGCGTTGCATCCTCGCTGGGATCGAGACGATTTGCGTCGAGCCCCGAGCATTGCCTTTGAAATGAAAGAATAGCATCGGGCTTTCACTGGAAGACCCGACCCCTTCATTGCACACTTTGGTGCTGTTTGAATGTGTTCGTTTTTCGGGTCGACTTTCTGAGAAGTTTTGGAATTCATTGCACACTTTGGTGCTGCTGTTTGTAGGGCGAGTTTTTCGGGTGGACTTTCTGAGTCCAAGTCTGGACCCCAGCGCCCGGGCGTTTCTCTCCACGTGCCCGGCCTCCGGCCCGGCCCGGACCACCGCCAGGTCGCACACCCCCGCGCCCGCGAAGCGCTTTCGGAGCCTCGCTCCGTTTTTTCGCCGGGAGGTGCCCATGTGCCCCGCCAGCGGGGGTTTGGGGGAAAACCTCGGAGACCAGCAATTTGCAGCTTTCGGAAGAAAAAAATGGTTGCAACATATTAGTAATTGTTTTTTTTTGGGGGGGGGCTCTCGAAATCTTGATAGATTTTCAAATTGGGTTCTGGCAAAATTGGTTCTATTGGGCGCTGCGCGTGAAATCTTCTACTTTGGTGCAAGCTGGAACCCGGCTGAATGGAAATGCTGTTTCAGAAAAGGGGGACACCTTTTCGGAATGGGTTTGCAGGACAGCAAGAAGAAACCCTGATTGTTAGGCTTCCATAGTCTAAGACGAACCCCATTTTATTCGAGCCTGGGGCCTCCATAATATTGAAAAATGAGATCCTGACCTCGTATTTTGTTGTATGTGACCTCATCTTAATATCACTCCCCGAGTGGGCCAACAAAGTTTGGAGTGCCGCAAAAATGGTTTTCCCAGAAAGTGACCCCAGTGCATCCCAGTTGCCCAAATGGTAGGTAAGCAGCCTTTTCCCTTTTAACTTTTGAAGGTCGATTCTTTCTTTACCTGCAAGGGAAATTGAATCACTGGGTTTGAGTGCGGGGGTCGTAGAAGTATATTCTCACCGAACGGTGACCAACAACTTACTAGCTTGGCAAATCGAACACCCAAGCAGAAAGTGACCCAAACGTCCGAAACGGAACTCGACCCAAACGTCCGAAACGGAACTCGAGCGAGCACTGGCCATCCCAAAACCCTAGCCCTCAAAATTTAAACTTAAAAAATTGGTCCTTGCCCCAAAATGGTGGTTGGTGAATTCCCTTCTTCCCTCAAAATTCCAACTGACAAATGGGTTATTGCCCCAAAATTGTGGTTGGTGAATTCCCTGTGCGTATTTTGAGGGTCCTGTGGTCCTATGGTGTGAATTCCCCTCTTTTGGGTAGCTTGAGGGTCCAAAAACCTGCTTAAGCGCAGCCTTCCGTCGCTCTATCCTCGGATGGCTCGAACCGAGGACCGAGGCGCAGCTCCTCGAAATGAGTCAGCAGCTCAGACTCGAGCAGGTCCTACCATCTCTACTCTTGGTATAGCGAAAAACTGACAGTTTTTTTGCAGACCCGTAAAAATGAGAACATAACCAAAAAACTATATTAAAAAAACTTGCCAAGAACAGTGAAGCTACGGGCTGGCCGGCGATTCATTGAGTAACTTCCGGTCCGAGGTGATTGGCCCAAAAAGGCTTGACCAGATCTTTTTGAGGCTGCCCCCTTTTTATCGGCAACTACTAGGCAAACTGAAATTGCGGCCCTTTGTTTGTTTGCTACCACGCCAAGCGTTCGAAAGGTAGCTGAACCCTCAAAATTCCAACTTAGAAATGAGTGATTGGGGGCCAATATGACCGTTGGTGAGTTGTTTCCATTTTTTCTTGCTGGTGCGATAAGTAGGGAATAGGGGGACCCCTGGGTTCATTCCCACATTTTTTACTGATCATCAGCAAGTTTATTGTGGCTTGGCTGTGACTTATATTAGGGAAACTCACGTCCAATCGAGTGGATGGGCCAAACTGTCAACTTGGTGCGCAAGCCACTAAAATGGTCGAAACCCAAAAAGAGCGTGGAGATCGAATCAAGTGTCCAACCGCTTCTTGGATCAAGGTCCTTTCGCTTCCCTCAAAACTTGGCACATACACGGACGACAAAAAAAACACACAGCAAGTTTTGAGCCTGGAGACCCCAAACGGAACGGGGGGCGGGCTGGCTCAGCTTTGCACAAATGGACATAGTTGCTTGGGTTCTTGGCCAAGTTAGTAAGTTGTTGGTAACACACATGGTCCAAGCCCAAGAAGTTTAAAGTCCATCAGGAAGTGAGGATTGAAACCGCAAGGAAGACCAGCGAAACCGTTTTAAGGGGATCCAAACGAAAGACGCGCCACCATATTAAAAAAAAGGTGGCGGTTTCCGACGCCCGGCGACGACCCTCGGCCTGCGGAAGGCCTTGCACCTCCACGGCGTAGTCCGCTACGGAGGGCTCCTCACACCGGGCGCTCGGGTGAGACCGGGCGCTCGAGGCTCCCCAAGACCCCCCGAGAATTTTTTGCAGGTGCGACGTTTAGCGTTGGACAAGCCCATGAAACCCAAACTTCTGGAAACACAAACTCATGAAACAGAAACTTCTGGAATCAGGCACTGCGGGGCAATCTAAATCTGAAGTTGGTGGAGATAGCAGCAGGGGTGCTGCACAGGGTCGGGCCCGCCCACAGCTTAGAACATGCTTCAACACCTATTGGGCAACTTCCTCTTGGTTCCCCTTTTAAACGGGACCAGGGGTCTGCCAGCTTGCCCTTCATGTCAACCTTGGGACCAACGAAACTATTGGATTCTTTTGGTGTTTTCTGTTTTGGCTCCATGAGTTCCATGTCGATCTGTCTCAAAATTAGGGGGAACAAATCGCTTGTTTCCCCTGGCTTGCATTCAACACAAACTAAGGGGTTCCCCCCCAATTCGAAAGCTCTGGGACCTCGGTTTTCCATTTCTCTTCAAAACCATAGCTCGCTGAGCCAAACACATATCCTGCTTGTTTCCCCCAAAAAGTTTTCCTCCCCCCCTCGGAGAAAAAAAAAAAAAAAACGCCTCTGGGATTTTTGACCAGTTCTATCCGTCCCAGGGGCTGTGGCCAGGTCCGGGTGCGAGCTGAGGCGGCGCCAGGCGAAGACGAGGCCCAGCAGCGAGAGCGAAGGGGCCAGCAGCTGAAGCGTCATCAGTAGCCGGAGGCCTCGTTTCTCTCAGAAAATTCGCGTCAACCAGACCCATCCGGCTACCTAAAGTTAGATGTCTGGAGGCATCCATGGTTCCAACTAGGTCCTCCAGATTTGAGAGGTTAGAAGTCACCCGAGTTGTTTCTGGTTTGTCTATTTTAGTAAGGGAACCCCTCCAGCAAAAAAAAAGGTGAGAGGTCGGGCACCGGGTACTGGGGCACCTGGCAGAACATTCGTGTCAACCAGACCAATCCCGGACAGCCAGTCCGGCTCCCTGATGCCCGGTACGCTTCCACTGGATGAGCCAACAAAAACCGTCGCCCTTTGGATAACTGAAAAAGTTAATCTTTTACAGAAATAGCCCATGTTACCCCCAAAAAGCTGAAAAGTTGTGTTTTTAAGAGGTAAGACTACATGGCTGTGGCTCAAAAAGCCGGAATTCCAAAATGGGTTGCCCTGGAAAGTGGAAACATGGACCAAAACCTGCGGTTTGCCTCTCCTGTTTAATTTTGAGCCACACCCATATTGCAACCAAACCCGAGAAAAAAAGGCGACGAAAGTCAACATGAACTCAGGAAGTGAGGTTCAGAAGCAACTTTTGGGGATACCCCCCAGTCTTCCCCGGGCCCACGGGTTCCCTACTACAGGCTTAAGTTGCTAAGTTGGCTTCGACCCTAGGTGACCCCTGGGTTGCACGGCCACTTCTGATTCTCCATGAGTTGCATCGAACGCAAACAAAACCATTGTCCTTTGGTGCATGCGATCGGCTTTTCGCGAGCTACAGCTTCAACGAACGGATCCTCTTAGATCAGTGCTGTGGGAAATGGCCGGCATCCACTTCTGTGATACAACCCAAAAAACACTTCCCAAAGACTAACCCCGCATAAAGGGGGAGATTCCCACAAGCGTCACAGAAGCGGGGGTCAACCCTTGGCCTACGACCCTAGGTGCGCTCAAAGCGAGCCCACTGGAGCCGAGCGGCTCTCAGCATCTGTCGGCCACCCCACTGGAGACAGGGAGGCGTCCAAAAAGGCGTCCAGGTTGCCCAATGTAAGCCGTGCGAAAAGCGCCTCAACAGTGCTGGTGGCTTGATCAACCGAAAAAGGGACTCACTTCCGATCAAGTAGATGGCGACCAAAGCAGCGGCCAAACCTTTTTGCGCGATGATCTTCCCAAAGCGTGACTAATGTTCAGGAGGGAAGGCCCGTGAAAGTTGTTGCGCCTTCTTTCTTTGCGTCTGCGTCTTTTGCGTTAACAAAAGAAAGCTCCCCCCCTCCAACAAAAACCACACAACTCGGCCGTGCCAACAGCACAAACAACTTGGGGGACCCCCTTATTGGGGTGTCGTTTGGTAGACCCCCACAAAATGCCTTGGGGGGTTCGTTCCCCCTTTTGATTTGTTTTCCCTTGCAACCACAAACGAGGGGCAAGGAGGGGGCGGGGGGGGGGCCAGCCACCAGGGCACCACAGGCGCCGTTGAGAAGACGGGGCCGTTGAGGAGGTAGAGCAGCTCCAGTGTGCCTCGTCAAACCCTCCAAACCCCTCCCCCAACCGCTGGCCCAAGAAAATGAGATTTGGAGAACAGTGCCTGAAAAGGAACACCAAAAGGAAACCGCCCTCACTTCCGGCGTGGATTTGCCAAACAACCAGCACTAAGCCGACCCTTCGTGGATTGCCGTTTGGATGATTACAATGGAGTCGCGGGGCAGAGCCTGATGTAGAAGAATCTGCAACTAGGGCACTTCCCGAGCGAATCGAGCAACAAAAGTCCACGCTTTGTATTTAAAACTCACATTGCCTCCCCAGAGAGTAAAGTTCAGAAACTCGAGCAGTAAGAAACAGCAACTAGTAACTAGTGTTGCCTCAAAATGCGGGATGCCCCCATCACACTATTTAGGTTGCTTCCTTGTTTCAGGGCTCCTTATACTATAAACATCACTCCACCAGAAGGAAGCTCCTTTTCAATTGGCCCGACAAAACATGTCTAAAGCCACCCAAAAGAGAAATACGGGGAGCCTTGTCCGCAGCATTGCGGGCTTGGAAGCCCTCTTCTAGAAAGCGATTTGGCCATGGGTCAAAACCCCGTACCCCCAAGAAACACCCCCCCAATCCCCACTAAAATCGACTAAAATGGGTGGTGCGCCCACCCCAAAATGGTACTATTGGTTTTGACCCACAGCTATTTGTGGGGGGGATGCCTCGGATTGGTGCGGAGTCTTCGAAGGCGGGGGGCGATAAGAGGCCCACAGGGTGCCAAATGCGGATGCCCCGATCGCCATGTTGCACGCAAACCATGGGCGAAATTGCCTACAGCAGAGAGGCTAGAATAAGGGCACCTTTTTTTTTCTTTCTGTAGTCTATTTTAGTAGGGGAACCCTCCCCCAAAAACCGGTAAAAGGGCACTACTGGGGGACCTAGTTACAGAAAGTTAGGGAGCTCCCTTGTTCCCTACTTGCAATATGGCAGGGGCGTCCATAGCACAGAATTGATGATTTCTCAACAAAGAGTGACAATCCTTTGGTTGTTGCAGACCCAGAAAACACCCCAAAACTTGGTTTCTGATGATCTGCCCTGAACTACCAACACACAATGACGGCTTCTCATGGTTTCAAAAGGTGCGAACGGATTCGCAACCATCCACAAAATGAGTGTGTTTTTGAGGGCGCTGCGAAGGGATACGAAAGGTAAACCGACCATGTTGGGTTCCCCTGTGTTCGCACATGCCCACATTCTTAATCTGTGACAACTGCTGCACTTGAGCTCGAAAGAATCCCGCGTGTTTCGCCTTTTGGGCTGGTTTAGTTGGGGGGTCGCTTGTTTTTTGACACATGAAAGTGGGTTGACAGTTAGTCATCCCCTTTACTTACGCATCCTGGTGTACAATTTGCATTCAGCCGATCCCTAAGAGAAGAAACTAGGGGGCTCCAACGGCAAGGGCCTTTGAGAGTGTGTTGGTACGTAAGGCGCAAGAAAAGTGGACTGACCAAATCGCGCTTCCCCCGTCTCCTCATCTCATTCGAGCAGCGCCACTTGTGGGCTTAAACCAACGGGTGGCCCTAGGGAAACCCATGGCCGGCCTAGGGCTTACAGGAACCCTTGGGCTATGTTTAAATCCGCTCAGTTCACCTGATCCAATCTGGCCGGAGAAGATCCGGCTGCCCTAAATTAAATATGTTGTGGAAGTAAGGGAATTAACCTTACAAACTGAATCACCGTAAGCTACCATGCTGCAGATTCAAATAACACCCAGAAACATCTGGGCGTTTCGGTCGTTGGTACCATTGGGGAAAACTTGTGCGAAGGCCGCAGGCCCAAACCGTTTGGGAGAACATTTGAGCCACCACAATCTGACATCATGTCAGCGGCGTCCCTTTGCCATGCTTGCATATCCCTTTGCAAGCACCCTACATCGGTCCCAAATCAGGGCATGCGTTTGTGGTACGCCCTTGTTTACCGTCCCTTTCCCTGCAGTTCTCAGTTCTAGGGTTTAATTCCACATTATAGTCAACCATCACTTTTTTCAATAACCAAATCAATTCGCTGTTCCCTGGTTTCCCGCAAAGATTCGGATCCCTGGAAAGAATGGAAATGGAAGCTTCGGTTTAAGGAGTCTTCATGTGATTCGCCGGCAAAACGGGATGGATCAGACCCGCCTGGGATGCAGGTCAGGAAAAGCATGGCGCAGAGCACTCGCAGGCTCTGAAAGTAGAGGCAATACCTGCGGCTCATGCGGCTAGTGCATCACTCACTTGAGTGGACCCGCCTTTTGGTTGGCATTTTAAGGGGAACCAACAGGAAGAAATGCATTTCTTCCTCGATCTCCTCTTTTTGGAGGGGGGGGGGGGCGGTAGGGCGGGTGCCCTCTCACACTTCCTAAGTGGATTGGCCCAAGCAAACAACAAACTTGTGCTGTTTTATCAATTAAGCTCCACAAGTCCGAACTTCTTGAGTGCCACTAAAGTGGTCCAAACCTAGAACATTCGAAATGGAACTCAAGTGAGTAAACTGGGCGTCTCGAACGCCCAGAAACTTGGACGGTGATGTGCGACCCTTTTGCCCGAAGCGGACAAGTTTGGCCTTAACTACCATGTCCCTAACCAGAACTCCGATCGGCCCCGAAAGGCTTCCTTAGAAAGCAAATTTGGATACCTCCGAGTCCGGCTCCCTTCCAACCACCAGCTGAAAACGGGCCTTACGAATTTCGGGGAGCCAAAGAGTGGGCAACCCGTATGTTGGGTACTTGGGTGTTCCATCCGCTAGGTTAGTATATAAGTTGCTGGTAACCTTTCTCACTTCTTGAGTGAATGGCCACAAAGAAGTCTAACCTTGTTGTTTTCCACTGAAGCGGTCTTCCCAAACAGTTCAAAGTCCAGGAAAACAGGAAGTGAGCGGGTACGTTCCCCTAAGTGGAATGAAGCCTGTCAGTGGTTTATGACCCAGGTGCCTAACCGCTTTACTTGGCGAATCGAACATCCAAGTACCTGGACCCTCAAACTACCCATAATTTTCCGGCCAATAACCCACGTTGAAGAGAATTTTGGGGGCTCAGGTAGACATTTGCCGCAAGTGAAAGGTCAAAGATCCCCCAAAATCAGCAGTTGCATCAGGGGTTTGTTGATTAAGTGGGTTCCCATTGCGTCGAGCAGGCTTGTGCTTGTTGCTCAGTCCCCCAAACAAGAACCTGAAAGGGACCTACTGGAACTACCCTCTTTTTTTAGTGATATTGTTGGAAAACCTCGTTTTCCAGTAAATACCATCTTTTTACAGGGTGTCCTTGAAACACGCGGGTGTTTGGAGCAGGGCGGTTCACTTTCCTCGCGAACTCTATGCACACGAAGCCCGCCCATGTAGACTATCCCAATGCAAGTGTCTCACCGCTCCGGATGGAGGAAATCTAGCAAAGAACCTCATCGTTTGTCTCCCCCTAAAGTAACTCGTCATAAGTAGCGCATATGCACCTTCCCATTGCCAATGTGTGCGTGTGTGTTTTTGTGTGTGAGGGTACCCCTTCTTGGGGTCGTTTTTAAGAGACGCCAAAAGGAACCCACCGACCTAAGAGTGGACTGGCAACAAAAGTCCGAACTTTGTGCTTACCACTAAAATGGTCTTTCCAAAAATGTACAAAAAGTCCATGAACTCAGGCAATGAGGGCTCTATTTTTCATAGCCACACACCCATGCGACCAGGCTGCTCCAGGCCATACTTCTCCACGTCGTCCAGGTGCACCCGAAAAATCGAACGCCAGTCTCGCTCCAGGACCTGCCGAACGCCCGCACGTGCGCGCGACGAGACACGCGGCGGCTCACCAGTCCTTCGCGAGCGACAAATTTTCTGCCAGCCCAAACGCATTCTAGGTCCACCAGTAGAGAGGTTGGAATAAGGGTACCTTATTTTTCTGTAGTCTATTTTTTTATAGGGGAACTCTCCCCAAAAAACGGGTAAAAGGACACTGGGGGACCCAGGTATTTCGAAACAAAGGGTCGTCACCAACACATGGCAAACTTGCACTTTTTGTCCAAGCTTCGGGCGGTTCTCCCCAAACCGAGCTGAGCGGTCCTCCAAGATGGTCGGTCGCTGAAAGGAGCGCGCAAAAATCCAGGCGCAACAAACGAGCGCAAATATCGCAAAGCGAGCGCAAATATCCGCAAACGGGCGCAAATTTAGACAACGTAGCAATTGCTCGCCTTCCTCCGGATGGAATACGGGGACTTGATCGAGCGCTTTTGTTTCGGGGTCTAGCAGAAATCTGTAATTCGAGCATTTTTGTTGTATACCAAAAAATGGTCACGTTGGGTGCTTCGGGAAGGGTAAACCAGCTCCAATCGAACCCTAAACCAACCCTAAACCAACCCTAAACCCATCCTATACCAACCACAGAACCACAGCACCACAGCAGGGGGGTTGTAGCCTGTATGACCAATGACGTGGGGGGCCTGGGGGTTGGGGGCAACACATATATATATATATATATACATAGATATATATATATATATATGCGTGTGTACCTTTGCACTGAACATGGAACCTTTTGACGGAAAACTGTCCAAACCAGGACCAACCCTGGGGGCTCCATGTGGGGGGAGGAGAGATACCATAAAGCATGTGTACCAAATCGCCTTTTTGAGCCCCGCGAAAATCGAGGCCAACACCAAGTCCACCAACTCGACAAATCGGCCTTCTCTCGCCCCGAGTCTGGCCAAATCTCCAGCTCTTCCGGCTCCATGTCCAGCCATAGGCGAGAAGTCGCTTTGCAATCCCCGGAAATCCGACAATTCGGGAACTTGCCCTCTGAAGGACCCAATTTGGATGAAGAAACTGTTTAGGAACAATACTTGGTTGCTGTTGCAAGCATTTATTGCTTGCAGGTCCAAGGAAAATGCTTGCTTCCCCAAAAAGTTAAAATCTAAAGATCCAATCCAATAGCCACAGAGTAAGAGTGGTTACATTAATCCCCATTCTTTGGATGGTTTGACCCCCCGGATTGGCTTCTCTTTGTGTGCTCGGCACCCCTTTTGTTGGTCTTCTGGCTAAGCTTGAAGCCGGACAAGAAGAAGAAACATGGCTCGAACACGCGAATGTCTGGACTTGGACGTGTTGGCCCAAAACAAGACCACACAACTTCGTGTCAAGCCTTTGAGGGTACATAATATATATATATATATGTATATATTGTTTATCATATATGTATATATTCTGGTAAATGTCTAGACTTGGAGCTCCAGCCGAAACCTCCAGAGATTTGTGCCCGCCCTCATCTACACCTCCGCCTTGGACCGAGAAGCCTCAGGATAACACGCCCGGTGGCCGTGGGGGGTTCATATGACCCTCACTTTTTGTGTAGATGCGTGTTTCAGCACTTGGTCACTTGCGATCGAGTGGATTGGAAAGAGAAACAGTTGCCCAACGTTTTGCTTACCACAAAAATGACTGGTCAAAACTAAAGTGCTGTTCCAAACGGAAAAGCTGCTTGTCAAAGCCGCGCAAACAAAGTATGATAGAAAAGACCGTTGACATTGTTTCATCTTGCAGCAGCAAGATTATTCCAACAGGTCTGCTTAGTAAACAAGAAAGCCACAAACGAGAGAGTTGATTGAGAACAAACTTAAACTGGCTTGTTTACCACTAAAACTGGGTTGCTCTTGCCCCCTGACCAACGGGTCTAGCCTTTTTTAGGTTGAAAAAGGGCGAAGGTCACACCAAAAACCAGCCAAGTTTAGGCTACACATGAGTCGGACTCAAAACCTAGCATGAACTATGGCCTGCTCAAAGCCACGAAAATATGTGGGTTCATAGGCGGTCATGCCGATTTAGGGACTGTTCCTTATCTCTCATCTAATCGATGACCCCGGATTAATAAAGCTGTCCTATCGATAGGGGGTGCTGCCATCCCAAAGTGATGAATCCCCACCAAAAGGGGACACCCATAAACCAGCGGGTCGATGAACATACCGTGTTCCCATCACCCGTTATCACTCCTGGGGACTCCTGATCCACCCTCTGTTTGTTTATGGCCACGAGTTCAGTGGGGGGACTGCCCGGTCCAACTGGACGCACCACATCCCTTTGTCTGGTACATTCTTTATGTACGTTTCCTCCACCACATGGAGCGTGGCTTTGCCTTGCCTGGCTTGGACCATTTTCCATGTTCAGGGAAGGTGTACACGGGCCATATTGGTATGCTTTTTGTTGGGAAGACCCCTCCAAAAAAGAGAGACAAAAATGGTGGTGTTCCTTTTTGTTGCCCCTTCCAAACATATTGGTACTTGAATGTTCGGCCAAGTTAGTACGCGATTCGGCACCTGGCTTCTACTTGACTAACACAAGGGTCAGTTCCACTTAGGGGGACGCGGAAGCTTACCAACAACTTACAAACCTGGAAAAGAGACACGCCCATTTTTATTTTTTTTGGGCCGTACTTTGCAACATGGGAGCTGTTGGCCCTTGCCAGGCGCCCCGGCGATTGTGATGCGCTTGCAGCCTGCGGAAGAAGCAGAGCACGGCGGTTGGGGAAGCGGCGGGTGAAGCAAAGGAGAACTGGGCCGAGGCGGAGTCCAAGAGCAAACCGAGGAGGCAGAAAACCAGTGCTTGCCCTTAAAAAGGAAGACCAACTATGACACCACACGAAAAACATGAAGTGAAGCAAACGATGTGTTACGATGTAACCCAAATGAGGAAATTTGTAAGTCCAATGGTGTGGGGGAAATTTAGTAAGTTTGCCATGTCTGCCAACTGGACTCATCGAACCTCCTGGAAATCACCTGACCTGGGAAGAACCATGCAATTGGCAATGCCCGTGGACAAAATCATCCCTGTGCATATTACTAGATTACCACTGCTGTCAGTTTGATTGGGATGAAGTTTCCTTGGTATTAAGAGAAAGTGGCTAGCTAAAAACAAGAATTGTCCACCAGGAGATACGGTGGATGCCCTCATTGCAATTATTTGAAGGCACACCACCCACAAGACCATGGCACAGTACGTACACTAGGGGGTTCTTGTCCCGTCAGTTTCCTTTGTTTGCGGACTCATGTGCTAGCAAAGCATCTCTCAAAGTCGGACTGGACCTCAAAAAAAGACCAGTTCGTGGTGAATGCCCTCACTCCCACTAACATGGCACCTGACCAGGGGTCCCTGCAAGAGAAAAAATGATCTTTCAGGTACCCTCCCACAGGTAACGCTTCATCCAAAGTGAGCGTTCGGCTGCAAGAAGGCTAAATTGCTGGAATGCGACTGCCCATGCCGCGAAACTTTGAACTGAGCCGCAGACATATCACCAACTGCCTTTTTGCACTCCCCCAACCGAAATCATACATGCGAAACACAACGACGACACCAGGAACAACAAAAAACACAACAACCAGCGCCAATGTGGCGAAACTCCCTCGAGTTCGGAAATCATGAAGTACCAGTATATCCTGCTTTTTGGGCTTGAGCCTTTACCACCAAAGTGTCGCCAAAAAGGACATTCCCAAACCGCACTTCCCGGTGGAATTCTCTTCCGGGGGGTTGATCACTAGTTCGCGTGCACGGGGCGAAGCGTGCTTATCAGGCGGGTCCGTTCAAGTAACATCCCCAAGCTAGGCTGGAAAAATCGGACCCCAGCAAAAAATATATTATTTTTGCCTGGTTAGTGGAAAACAAATGGGACCCCAAGAAAGCAAAAACAACATACAAAGGGGAACTAATTCTGGGGAAGCAAGGTGGTTTTTCAAGGGCTCTTGAAAGGGGAAGCCCTCAAACGCAAACAAAAACATGCGCCAAATTCGTCAAGGTGCCATCACGTGCCATATTTTCGGGGGGGGGGGGGGGAAAAACAAAAACAAAAAGCTGGATGGTTTGTCCTGGGGTCCGTCCATGTCTCATGCCCTTCGCAGCTGCGCACCAGCAAGATGAACAAGCTCCAAACTTGAAAATTTGAAGCCGCACCCCTGGGTTGCTGTTGACCCCCCGGCAAAAACCGTATTTTTTTGGGGGGGTTTAGCGGAAAACACCGTTATTTCCTGAAAAAAAGCTAAAGTCTAAAGATCCGTTGCCCACTAGCAGTCAAGGGGACCCCAGGCTACCGCCCATTTTCGTTCGCCTGGTGTGCGAGCAGCTGCTGCATCCACAGCTGGTCCGGAGACCTCAGGCACGCATACTGTGGACCAAATCCGCTCGCACCGCCTAAGAAACCGGGGTGATTGCAAGAATGGGTGATTGCAAGCCAAATGATGGTTGGCAAGATGGGGGATGTTTGATTAACAATATGATTGTTGGTGAGTTCTCTGGTTCTTTTCGGGTCCAGGTCGCCTCAACGAAAGGCCATGGGGCCCATCCCTACTGTGAATGGACGAAAACCCGCACCACTTTGAAAACAAAGGAAACCATTGTTCGTTGGTATTTACAGGGTGGATCGAATCCTTCCAGGGTTTCTTTAGGTGCGAACGGATTTCGTCCATCCACAGTATCCTCACAAAGATCGGGCACAGGGGGTGGGTCCCTTAAGGACCTTATGATCTTCCAAGCCCTACAAATGCTGGGTTAGTGGGAGGATAGTGGGAATGGTACATAAAAGTATGGGGATGGCTGTTAAATTTCTGAGGTTCCTGCTGCCAAACACAACAGAGAGGGATAATTACAATTAAGAGGGGGATCGTAAACAAACAATCCTCTCAAGCAAACGGAAATTGCCGAAAACCGCCCAAAGGTGCGTTAAAGCGGTGTACCCCCACACCCGCATTGGAGCGGAATCACCGAAATCGGTACTAAAAATATGCACAACCTTGAAATTTTGTAAGGGGAGTTGGTAGTTGAGAGCCCTAGCATTCCTGAGGGTTCCTGTTCCTTAGGGAACCCCCCCCTCCTTAGACCACCCTTAGGGCGGGTCCCTGAATGACCGAAAGGTAAGCCAATCTTGCCAAGAACTACCAGTCAAAACCATGCATAACCATTTTCCTGAGCGTGTCTCAAAATGGCTGCATTCCTGCTGGTTCCTCAAGCAGCTTCCTGAGCTCTCTTCCCACCATGGCTTTCCACCAAAATGTCCGGCTGGACCCTCAAACTACCCCCAAAAAGAAGGTTAACATTCAGCTGGAACCCTGCGGGTTGGCAGCCAAAACTTGCTTCGGCGCCCAAGCTTCGGCGCAGGCGCCCCCGACTTTTTTGCCCCGTCGATGACCCGAACCGAACCGACCCGAAGCGACGAAATTTCCCCCGGGCGCCCGGGCGTCAGCCCCCCGAGCTTCGCCAGAGCTGCGAACCTCGGGTCTTGCGACCGCGCAATTGACATACTGTGGATGGACGAAATCCGTTCGCACCACTTTGAAACCATGGGAAACCGTTGTTTGCTGGTATTTACAGGGGAACCATTCCAGGGTGTCTTAGGTGGTGTAGGATTTCCATCCACAGTAGGGATGGGCCCCATGGCCTTTCGTTGAGGCGACCTGGACCCGACAAGAACCAGAAAACTCGCCAACCAGATTGTTAATCAAACAAATCCCCATTGAGACACTTTCAACTTTTCTTGCTGTTGCGATAGGCAGGGAGTGAGAAATGGCATGAACCCAGGCTTTGGTCCCCAAGAAAACCACCAGTTGGATGGTTCATAGGAATCATTCCCTCATTCCCTACCTATCGCACCAGCAAGTCAAAACTTGCCAACCATCATTTGGCTTGCAATCACCCATTTTTGATTTGGACTTTTGAGGGTTCAGCTGCCTTTCCAACCCTTGGCGCGGTAGCAAAAAGCTTTGTTGATAGGCACTCCTCCCTACTAAAAGTGAACAGAACCAAACAA